CACACACACACACACACACACACACACACACACACACACACACACACACACACACACACACAGAAACCACACACACAACCACACCTAAACCTCTCAGCTCTGAGTTCAATGTACCATAAAAGAAAAACCACTTCAGTAATAACAGTTATTTTAACCACACAGCCATTACAACAATGCATGCTGGACAAAGAAACCACTGCAGAACTATCTCCGCTGCAAAAGGAAATTGCAGACAGAAACAGCGTCTTTTATCTGGAACAAATATAGACACAATTATGAGGCTGAAGCATCAATAGCATGAATTCTGGAAAAAAAAGTGTGCAACTATCTTGTGTTATCAGAGAAAACCAACAAATTTCTGTGCTTTGTTAAAAAAAAGCAACAATCATCCTGATCCATGCTGACCTGCAATGCGTTGTAAGCGTGCAAATATTAAAGACAAGTGGCCAGTAACATCACTACTAGTTAACATGAATACAGGCCTAAACATATCAGCAACATTTAGATTTTTATATGTTGAAACTTTAACACCACTTTTTTATATTGAGTCTATTTCGAATTAGAAGTTTTCTGAAATATACAGATTTTACTACTTATTGGCAAATTATTGCCAATAAATGCAAATGGGTGAACATGTTTTTGCCTGTATCTGTGTGCCTGTGTCTGCATAATATCTCAAAAATCACTGGATGGATCATATTTTCAGAAAATCATTTGATATACACTTAAAATTATGGACCACTGCACATATGAAACTCTTAGAGAGTAATTAATTAAGTGTACATCTACAACTTATTATTGTTTTAATATAACCACCATAGCAATAACTCAGTTTTACAAATTCTGAGCTAAAATTTGGTGTGGCGGTAGCTGAGATTGATCCTCAACACATACTCCTAGAGTGCTAACAGATCTCATGAGATTTATTTATTTTTGTAATGTCATTGACAAGAAGTAACCAAAATCACTGTAACTCCATATTTTCTTATTCTAAGATGACCACTGCCTAAAACACTGGTATAGAAGGTGACAAATAATATGTATTACTTCAAAGTCTGCTAGGTCTTCAATCCAATATGGACTCAGTTGTGTGTTCACATTGAGTTAATTCAGAGGGAAACTATGGTAAAATTAACTATAGCAAAATAAACATTAAAACTTATTTTCTGGATAAAGATGGATTATGCAACTACAATGAGTTAATATTACAAAATGTTTTTTTGTGTGTGTGACACATACAAAATGTGCATGTTAATGCAGTAGAGACACTGGATAAAACCTGTTAAAAGAGCACATATTGATGCATTCAAATTACCTGTGCATCCACTAGTGTGGCATTAGCCAAGCTCTCATTAATGAAGACATGAACCAGAGCTGTGGCACAGAGAGAAGGGATGCCACTATCATTGACTCGAACAACCAGGCGATGCAGACCTCTATGGCGCCGCTCCAGAGGCTCTGCCAGGGTGATAACTCCATTTGTGTGGCCAATCTCAAACAGTCTGAAGGGATTTCCCCCCACCAGAGCGTAGCGAAGATCAGCATTTGGACCCGTGTCTGAGTCTATGGCTGTTACAGTCCTGACAATGGTGCGAGCACTACTGGCAGGTGGTAAAAGGGTGTAGGACTCATTGGCAGGAGAGGTGATAGAAGGTGCATTGTCATTTTCATCTGTCACAAAAAGTGAGACCGTGGCCGTGGCAGTTTTGCGGGGCTCCCCTCCGTCCACAGCCCGAACACGGAAGGTGTAGGTGGAAAGTTTTTCACGGTCAAACGATGCAGAAGAGAAAATTGTTCCAGTGTTGTTCTCAATGGAGAACACCTCTTCCCGTTCTTTCTCGCCATCATCTCCCTCCCTGCCTGTCGTTTTTGTGTCAGTCCCATCCACCTCTACATATAGGCTAAACTCTGCGTTCTCGCCCTCATCAGCGTCCGTGACTGTGACCATCCCAACTGGACTGTTGGCGAGGAGGTTCTCCTTGACATAGAATGTGAAGATCTCTTGAACAAACTTTGGTGCGTTGTCGTTGCGGTCAGTCACCAGGACAACAACAGTCGCAGAGCCTTGTAAGGACGGTGTGCCTTTGTCCTTGGCAATAACCCGCAGCTCATATCTCTCCTGCAGTTCACGGTCCAGAACTCCAGTAGCACGGATATCTCCATTGTCAGCATCGATGTAAAAAGGACCATTAGACGCATGATCCAGGGAGTATGCTATTTCTGCATTCTTGCCACTGTCTGCATCTGTTGCTACAACAGTGACCACCCTTTCACCAGGTGAGTTGTTCTCAGCGAAGTGGACCTCCACAATGCTCTGGGCAAAGGCTGGGGCATGGTCATTGATGTCTACCACTCGAACCATCAGTGAGCTGTTGCTGGATAAACTGGGGCTGCCAGAATCTACTGCAACAATTGTTACACTGTACTCTTTCGTGGCTTCATAGTCCAGCAAAGCTGAGGTATGTAAGAAGTATTTTTTCTTGTTCCTGTAGAAGTAAACAAAAAAAAAGACATTTCAGGAATGCAGAAGAAAATTTGTATGGTGGTTTGTAGTAAGAAGAAGACAGAAGACAGATATAAGTTGTTAGGTTGTTCTTTCAAGGTAGAATTTACTAAATTACATGATCTATTTTTGACATTACAACAAATATATATTAGTCAGAAAAGTGATTATTTTGAACCCTAACCGCTAAAAAGGGAGGGCCAGAAAATAAAGTTTTAAATTGTGCTTTTTCTTGTTAATTGACAACAACTATTATTACAATGCCAGTGAAGCAATTACTCCACTATCAATCAACCACTGAATTACTGAATATCTATTTTTTCTTTGTAAAATGCCATTTTTAAAATACTCATTAGATGTTTTCAGAAATTCATGCATGATTGCTTCTTCAGAGACAATCATCGATAAAAAACTGACATATTAATCAAGTTAACTTATTGATTTGGTAAACCCCTCAAATGATAACAGCATCAGTAAAGTTTTTAGTCAAGAAAAGCTTTAAATTCCTCACAGGTCTCATGGCACAGGTCAGTGTGGATGTGATGGCAGTGATACCTTAAAAGAGCACTGACTACTTTCTCTACTCTCTGATTTCAATAGCCTTGGGCAATGTTCTTAAATATGACTGAAGAGCTCTGACATTTGAGTCTGTGGGACTGACATTTTATTAGAAATATGTAAAAACCCTTCAAACGAATGGATATGTGTACCCAAAGTTTACAGATCCTAAGACAGCCTAACTACTCTGAGCCTCGATCAATGAGTGACACTGCTTGAACTAAGCTTAAATTAAATTTCAACGCAACAACACTTGAGGCACTTTCCTTTACATTATGGGTAAAGAAAAGTGGGAGAAAGAGCTTTTCATGAAATCATCTTCCAGTTTGAACATAAAGGGTTATAAAATTTACATGGCTAACAGAAATTGTTTACCTGTAAATGTTGTTGAAACTACCCAAATATGCAAATGAAATACATACATGAGCAAATACCAAGAACTAACTCAGTTTCTGCTGCATACACTGCAAACTACTGTAAAACACTTGGCTCAGCAAAATGTAAATGAAACCGTGTCTTACCCTTCTGGGATTTTTTTTTTTTTTGAATTCATAATTTATGCTCTTGGGCAACTTTAAATCAGGTGCTTAATGACACATTTGTTTGAAGCCAAAATATGTACTTAAGATAAACTTTTATCCACCCTAAGGTAAGGCAATGCATCATTTTGAACTAAAATGCATCATTGCTTCTTAGTTATCTAACATTACTTAATGTTTTGAATGCCCTTAAGAAAAATAAACTGTAGTCTTTTAATAAAAACCTGATTGTGTAGTACAGGTTTATTTATGTGTAATCTAATAGAAACTCAAAGGATGTGATATCAGTTTTGTTTCAGAATGAGGGATGAAGTAGTGGTCAGTGGCATTTTTTATTATGAACCTTTTGTTTGGCTTACCTGTCAAAGGCCTCATCTGCTGGTAGGGGTGGAAGTGCTGTTTCTCCAGCTGGCTTCAGGGTGAAGGGAACATCTCCTACAACTGTGCAGGTCACAGCCCCATTCTCTCCTTGGTCTCTGTCGGACACCTGAACCAGAGCCACAGGTGTGTCCACCAGAACATTCTCTGGCACCAGTGCTGCCCCATCTCGAACAAGGATGCGTCCAATCTTTCTGATCTCCACACTTGGGACGTTGTCATTCTCATCCCGGACGGCCAGAACCACTGTGGTGCGGTCAGTGCGTGGAGGCTGACCCCGGTCCCTGGCCATCACCGTGAACTTCAGCTGGGCCACTTCCTCTCTGTCGATTCTGTGAAGAACACTCAGCCAACCAGTTGCTTCATCGAGCCGCAGGAGTCGCCTGACATTTTCGGTGGCAGCTCCAAAGACGTACTCCACCTGCCCATTGACTCCAATGTCTCGATCTGAGGCTCTGACCTGAAGCACAGGTGTACCTGGGGGAGCGTTCTCTGTCATTTCAGCCTCATACGTTGACCTTTCAAACTGTGGACTGTTGTCATTCACGTCAGTGATGGACACACGGAGAAGAGCTTGGGAGGAACGGGGCGGGCTACCCCCATCTCGAACCTTGAGGACCAGCTCATATGAGTCTTTTTGCTCACGGTCCAGAGTTCCTTTCACAATAAGCTGTGGCTGTTTCTCACCATCTGGTATATCTGCCACTTGCAGCTCAAACACACTGCTCCTACTGGCTCCTCCTCCATTATCTCCACTTCTGCCCCTCCGGTCAAGTCCATCCACTCTAGTAATGGGGTTTCCTCCTGCTGTGCGCCTTGTTGAACTTGACCCAACTCCATTATTATCCTGGATGAGCTCATAGCGGTCAATGCCATTCCTTCCAAAGTCCCTGTCGGTGGCAGTGGGGAGCAGGTACAGAGTTCCTATTGGACGGTTCTCCTCAACTGACAGCTGCAGGACAGGTGAGGGGAAGGAGGGCGTATTGTCGTTGATGTCTGTGATGACAACTCGGCCCTCAAACAGGTCCACCCAGCTCTGCAGAGGCCCAATCACAGACACCTCAAAGTCCAGGAAGCACTCATTCTCATCGAAGATCATCTGGCACTGGGCCAGCTTCTCTCGGTCAATGCGCCGCGGGCCCGTGGTCAGCTCCCCGGTCACGTTGTCTATCTTGAAGAACTCCGAGCCGCTCTCCAGGGCGAAGGTGACGTCTCCGCTGCCCGTGCCCGCCGTGAGGCCCAGGTCCGCGGCCACGTTGCCGATCTTCACGTCCGGGGGTCCCTCCTCCGCCACTCGGTACCGGAGCGCTGAGTCGGCGCCCGGCAGCTGAGTCAGCAGCTGCAGCAGGAGGAGGAGGAGGAGGAAGGGGACCAGGAGGCTGGAGGAGTGCACTGCACCAAGAAGCCTCGGCATGGCTGGCTCCCTTCTGTTCCCCTCTCTCTGTTCTGTCTCTGGCTGGTCCCCCCAACCCCCAGCTGCGGCTCTTGTTTATTGGTGTTTTGGGGTCTGTTGCGGCTCACGCAGCGTGGGTGTTTGATTTATCCTTCCTGATACCTTCTCTATGGCTCTCTGCGGACTCTGGTCCGGGGGAAAGCTCCTGCGCTCTCTATAGCTCACTTCAGCAGATCCTTTTTTTTTTATTTTCCTCCTACACTCACCAACTTCTATAAAAATGATCTCGCTAAGGTGTAATCAAGCCATGAAGACACGTTTTTTAATCTATCTATCCAACCATCCATCTATCCATCATCAGCCTTTCATCTCCACTCCTCCTTTCTTCTTCTTATCAGTTCATAATGTAAGTTCTCTTCATTCCAGTCACATTTGGGACAGTCGATTGCTTGTTCAGTTTTTTCTTTCTTTCTCCACTTAGAAACTGCAATGCACCACTACTACACAAAAGAAACATGAGACAGACAGAGAGAAAAAGACATGATGTTTAGCTTTTCGGATGGAGAGAAAGGAAAATAAAATGAAATTAGATCTAAGAAGTAGAGTAAAATATCTGCTTCTGACTCCTCTTACCTTTCCCCCCCCAGCTGCTGCCTCCTTTTCCCCGCAGTGGAGCAACGTGCCAAGCAGTCAGATTCCTTTACGCAAGTTGTGAGAGTGGCTCTCGGAGCAAGTTTCTCCTTAAATTGCTCCTTTCTTTTATTGTTTGTCCTCGTGGAGAAGGAAAAGTAGGAATCTCTCCTCGTGGTTAAATCAGTTTTTGAGTAAAAATATAATAAAAAATAATCCCCGCGCCGTCCGGATCAGGAGTCGGGGGATGTTGGACTGAGAGTAGATGCGTCTTTTTGCTCCAGGAGTCCCGCATTCACTCTCACTCCAGCGAACGCGCCTCCTCCTCCTTCCTCCGCCTCCTTTTTTTTTTTTTTTATCCCCTCCCCTCTCACCTGCACTGCTCGGGACTGCTGCTGCTGCTGCTGCCTCCGGTCTCCAGCGATGCTGCAGTCTCTCTCTTTCTCTCCCCCCTCTCTCTCGTCTCCACTGCAACATTTTTCCCCGGCCACGTAACTCGATCGCTGAGCTGTAACAGGAGCGGCAGCAGAGGCGGTGTTGGGTCGCTCTGTGCGCGCGCGTCTGTGTTTATGTGTGTGTGTGTTGGAGATAATGGGGGTGGGGTGGGGG